TAACTGTTGATTTAATTTAAATGGGAGCGGGTGGTACGCCTACCACGAGATGTTGAGAAATGGGATCAGGTTGCACGCCTGCAACAAGATGAGTTGGATATGAAAGTTGCCTTATCTCTTCATTTATTGCTAGAAGTTAAATTGAGATGTACTCTTTATTAATCCTGATATTTTATTTCTAACTGTTGCCCCTGAANAACTGTTGATTTAATGGAAATGGGAGCGGGTGGTACGCCTACCACGAGTGATATTGAAATGGGAGCGGGTGGTACGCCTACCACGAGATATTGAGAAATGGGATCGGGTTGCACGCGTGCAACAAGATGAGTTGGATATGAAAGTTGCCTTATCTCTTCGTTTATTGCTAGAAGTTAAATTGAGATATACTCTTTATCAAAACCTGATAATTGTTGCTCCTGAAGCATGCCCCTTTCCCCAGCTTAAATTGTTATTTTCTTGCTACTTCTCCGTTGTACTTATATATATATATATATATATATATATATATATATATATATATATATATATATATATATATATATATCTGCACAGATTTATTTGGTGGTCTGGTCCTAGCCTCGTCACTACTTCGCCGGGGTTAGGCTAGGCACTTACCAGCACATGGGGTCGGTTGTGCTGATACTCCACTCTGTGCTATTTTGCACAGATCCCAGGCTTCAGACAGCAACAGCAATAAAGTGGGANTTTCTTTCAGACTTTTATGTGTAGTATCCTTATACCGTCTGTGAAACTGTGACACCAGTCTTGGGTAGAGGCTTTTGTTGAGATTTTTCCGCATATTTATTCAGTTTTCTATAATATTGAGACTTCCGCTTATTATTTAATTTCATGGTTTTGTAATATTGCCGATGATTGTTAAAAGGAAATTATGTTATTAATGAAAAAGTAATTAACTTTGGCTTGCCTAGCTCTCATTAGTAGGCGCCATCACGACTCCCGAAGGTTGGAAATCCGGGTCGTGACAAGTGATCACGGGGAGGACGGGAGGAACGAGCACGGGGAGGACGGAAGGAACGCTCACGTTCAAGTCGAGCATCTGGCGATGACTCACGAGACCGGGGAATCGGAAAAGCTCCATAAGCTAGGAGAGATTTGAGCTGCTCTTGCATGCCCTGGTACCGAGCTTGCATGCCAATGTACTGAGCATCTCTAAGCTTTTCTCTTTCCTTGGCCGCTTCTAGCTCGGATGTGAGCTTTGTCACAGTCTTCCGCATAGCGGAGTAGGCTCTCCC